GCTTGCCACATGCTTTTCTCACACATCATCCAGATCTTTGCTGCCTCTGCACTTAAATAGTTTAGAGAGGTTCTGCCCAGAGCCATCTTCAAGCTGTTGACTTCATGGGCTTTCTTCCAAGGACAAGCTGGTTAAACCTTGTTACAGCAAGACTGTGCTTACTAATGGCTGCTGATTCGTTCCTCTCTGTGACATGTACTCTTGGTCATAGCTCTAAAAAACCTAAATCATTCAGGTCCCTGCCACTGTAAGACATGCTCTTCCACCATCTTGCTGTAGCAACTGCAGCTTGTAGAGACAAGATGAGTGTCAGGACTAAAAATGAACTCTTAAAGACCAGGGTTCATTATCAGCAAACTGCTTCCAGGGAATCACCATTAACAATTTGGCAGTCTTTCCTGCAGTGCCTATCCTTGCTTAGGATGCCTAAACCCCCCCGGATTAGTTATTTGTGGACATATTAACTCTTAGTGCGAAGACACTAGGATGACGGGCAGCCTGAAACATGGACATTACCCATATCGATGCACTAAATGCTCTGAGGCCTAACCACAGTCAGGGCTACACTTACATACATTTCTCTGGTTTGTCTTTCCCAGCATCCTCCTGCTCAGACTCTCTGTGGTTTGACTGGCAGCAGGGTGGGTGCAGGGTCAGAGGGCTGCGCCTCCCCCCTCTGGGTACCTGCAAAACACACAGACAGACGTGTTTGCTCAGTTGCCAGCTGGAAGAATCACAGCTCCTCATGTGATGCCCAGGCAAGATGATATAATCAGCACATGGGTACTTCTTACCCCAGTAAACTCTTTACCTGTCCTCTGTGCCAAGAGCAGTCAGGAAGATAGATGCTGTTAGGGGAATGATGACAAGCATGACATGAACCTTAAAGACACAGAAAACTGCATTTCACAAAATGACGAAGCTCTTTGGCTCTTGTGCCTTTCTTTTTTTCTGAGTAGGGCAGGATAACCACTTTTTTGGGCATATTGCCTACCCAGGATTATGCCAAAGAGAATTTCCAGGGAAGGCTTGTCACAGTCACCATGCAGATTTCTACTTTATTTCAGTGCAGCTGAGATTCCATCCTGACCTACTAGCCTGATTTCTTGCTGACTTGCTCCTGAAAATGCTACTGCAGGGATTCCAGATGTGGAGGAGCCCAGCCCACAGCACACATTGAACCTTCACCCCTTCCTCTCCGAGTCTCCCAGCGCTGGCACATGACCTGAGGTCTCACCAATGGAGAAAATAGTACTGGCCCCAGACAAGCCAAAATACTTTCTCTTTGAACAGTTTGCAGTCCAAGTACTCCCAGAGTTTTGCTATATTTAGTACAATCTCCAAGACAGAGGAAAAAGCCTGTGTTACATCAGGTAGGGACATCCCTGGTCCCTTCTGTTGCTGTTAAACTGTTACTTGGCTCCAGTTCCTTACTTGATGATCAGCTTTGCTCAAGGCTTTGCAGTTCTGGGAAGTTTGTTCAACTGTTTGTCATCTACAACCTCCTCCCCTTCTGTCAGGGAACCATCTATCATGCCTTCCTTATTGAGAAAAACTCTGTACTTTTCTTTCTTGTTTACTGTCTTTTACTATCCTATTTGCCTTATACAGTAATGACTTACATGTGGGAAAATGATTCAAAGCTGCAATATTTCTAAAGCCAGAGACAGTCTGAACTTTTGACATAACTGGGAGGAAAATCAGACATTCTATTCAACACACCTGGGAGGAATAACCCCCATCTATTTCTTGCTGCATCAGAACCAACTGCAGACGGTCCCCACCACATGAAGAAGTCTTGGATTATGACAGCAGTGTAATTTGGGAGCAGCATCAGCCTAATGGTTGTTTCAGACAGTGCTACAACTGCCCGGCAAGAGTACTTTGAGGGCAGCTTTCTTAATCTGTACCAGTAGAAAGGATGACACGGATTGACAGCTATGTGTCTTTCCTTGAGATTACGTATGCTAAAGAACGTGAAGAAGATGAGCTCACTTCTTACTACATGACTAAAGATATTTTTAAACATGTTATAAAGCTGTGCGAGGCATGCGGGAGCCACTGGGCACTCAGCAGCCACTTAGGTGTATTTCAAGATGTTGGATGCTGCGAATACCTCTGTAAGTTTCCCACGACAAGTGCAAGGGAAACTGGGTTTGATTTCTCACCTAAAAGGATGCTAGCTCTAAGGGGGTGGAGCTGAAGCCATTTGGCACACGGAGGTATCTGCTGTTCTGGGCAAAGGCAGGAGAGCTGGGAGCTGCGAGAGGAGCTGTGAGGGGTGCTGAGGCACCGCACCTTCCCTCCCTGGAGCAGGTCTCGGAGAGAAGCCACCTGGCATCAGCCTCTTCTTCCTTCCTGTCCTGACCCTGAGCGGCTCCTTGTTGGAGCCTGGCGATGGGTGGGAGAAACTGCTTTCAAACTGGTTAATAACAGTGATGGTAACCTTTGACCCTGCTGAATAGCAATGCTTTTGACCTTTCATTTGTTAAATAATGCAACCACTTACTTCTCGATCCTTATCAGTGTTTAGTAATTGGGGTCAAGACAAAGCAAAGCAGAGTACAGTTACCCACCAGACTTTACAGAACCAGGAAGAATTTCTTTAAGCTGTAGATTTCCTTTTTTATAATCTTCAGTCAAGACAGGCAAAGACGGGAGACTGGGTGGCTTGGGAGATCCATGTAACAGTCTAAGGAGTCTCTCAGTGGTTAGCATCTGGTTTGAATCCAGCTGTGGTTGACAGTGGCAGAAATTCATTGTGGTCTCAGGTTGCCTCTCTGACTCGTACGAAATGAGTTGGGCTTGCGGCTCTATTGTTTACTGGCTGGATAGGAGCCACAACATAAAACAGTAACACACTGTTCTAGAGATATCAGTGACTAAACGGGTTTACAAAGCCTGGAAATTGCTGTTCCCGCAGAGAAAATCAGACTGTGGCACAGTGGGAGGTGACAGCGTGGACAAAAAGCCTGTGGTCACTGCTGTGTGCTCTGCCTGATTCACGTCAAGGAATCAAGGTGAACCTCCAGGAACCCGAGTCACTTTTTGTGCGGCCTAAGTCAAACTAATGGGTCAGGTTGTGTGCTGTGCAGCTCATTAAACATCTCGCTTGACAGACAAGCAGGTGATGACTGTTACAGCCAGCAGTCCCAGGATCAGTGTTTTCCTTAGAAGTGAACAGGAAGCGGATGAAAAAGGAATCCAAGAATTTATGACGTGCCAGTGGATTTAAGTGGAAGCGCACACACACACATTTATTTATATAATGCACACATATAAAAGCTTAAACTTCCTGAAGACGTCAAACAGAAATTCTATTTGTCTAAGCAGCTGCACAATCTCATTCCTTATTTATTGCATTCTGTATTAAGCTAGATTGCAAGGTTTTGCAGGCCAGGGGCTGCTTTGTGAATGTGTCTGTATGTGATGCATCAAGTGAGCACCCGAAGAGCGATCCATTTATAAATAACCCGTTTATTTATAAGATACTTGAGGCAGGCAAGATCTGTGAAGATGACTCTGTAGGTAGGGAGATTCAGAGGGGTGGGGTTTGGCTGTTTGGGGTTTTTTTTTTTGCTGCTGTTCATGTAAGAAATGAGGAAAACGCAGCCCTTTGCGGTGTCCCAGCTAAGGTGCACACAATGCGAGGGGATCCCCTCCTGCTTGTTTGGATTTCTCCCCGGATGTGGCCTGACAGCACTGCACACCTGCGCAGGACGCAGGTCCCTGCCTGCAGGCCCGGCGCAACCGCCGCCTGGCGCCGTTGCCATGGCAGCGGGG